GAGCTGGAAGCTGAGAACTGGCGACTTTGTAGTACAACTTTAGTACGCGGAGCAATCTGTGGAGCTGGAAGCTGAGAACTGGCGACTTTGTAGTACAACTTACGTACATTATGCCCCATATTGCGGACGTGCGACAACCGCTGGTGTTGTTGGCTAGTTGTGGCTGCGCACGCCTGTGTGCACAATACCTCGTACATCCGTCGTGCACATCACTCTCTTACACCTTCTCTCCCACCCCTCTGTTGTCGGAAGCTGATATCACTTCCTGACAAGGCCGTGTTGCAGAAGCTATTGAGACTCTGACTGCTTTGTGCTCTAGAAACTTAAGATTCGTAAAGACTCATACGTGGGGTTATCCGGTCCTTTAATTGTTGTTACGCAGGTTACTGGATTGGAAGAGGAGGATTTGCAGCTCTTTTAGGTCTATCGATCTCCGCGCGTCGGACTCGATCTCCGATTTGCTTCGCCAGGGCCTGGGGCCTTTCGTCCTGTCGACTCGACCGGACGATGTCGTGGAGCCAGGACGATGTCGTGGAGCGGCGTCCTCCGGAATGGCTTTGCCCCAGGATGGACTGACGGCTCGCGTCGAGCCAGTCGAGCAGCATGGGTGTCATCTCTCCAGTCGTAGCTTCGTGAAACGAAGGTGGAACTGGGGTGGGTTTAGAGGGTCCAAAGACCTGAGGACGGATATGGTTGAATCCCGCTTTCACATCGGTGTTCCTAGGGCGTTACGGACAGGACACTATCAAAAGTGATCCATCCAAATGCAATAGCTAAATGTGAATCACATTGAAACGGAAAAACGCACCCCTGCCAAAAGGAGGTTCTTCATGGTTTTTGAAAATAGATTTTGGCGTTCCGTGCAAAAAGCAGGCCACTGACCAGTGTCACCCAGCTTCCATCCGCACGGGCGCCAAGTGCGTGGGCCGTGTCTCACAGTACAGCCCTCCTGGGCACTGGTTGGTCAACCTACCTGCAAGGTCGTTCGCTACATGGCGTTGGGGCTCCAGGTTTTGACCCGTGTCCGACTGGTCTAGTCCTATGTCCAGAGTCTAGCTCATTGGCCCCTCCACCCAACGATTTTACCTCACAAACAAGTTGATACAAGACACAGACATCTTCCTGGGGGAGCCTCTAAACCGGTGCTGATGCCAGTGCGACTGTGCTTCTACATTTGATTGGCGTGCAAGTGCTTCTGCACTCAGGGCTTCATAGCAGGGGCACGCAGGGCTGGCCACTCCTGTGGTGACGCCCATTGACACACATCAATGGTACCAAATTTGTCACTACGGCTCTTACGTCTCTCCAGGCTTTTCAGCAGTTCCTCAGTGAAGGATCAGCAGGTCTTCGACTTTTCAATTGCTCTCACACCTTCATAGAAGAAAGAAGGCCTCTTTTCACATCCTGTTCCAGGAAGTCTTTGTTCAATCAGATGCTGTTAGAGAACTGATTCACAGAGACCACTGCAGAATTTCATAGAGCTTTGTGGGGGACTCCAATTTGGGAAGTGGTCCCCAGATAAATGAAGAATCGTCTCACCTGCTTAGCCACATACGGCCCAGTTCGGCATGTCCATCCTTCAGAAACCCTTCCGACACCGTGCCGTGGAACCGACACGTGCCGTCGCGTCGGTGGGCGTTTCCGGCGCCTCGGACGAGGTTTGTGATGGGAGCAATTCCCTGGAGTACCTGGGGAATATGACCTCGGATGAACTGCTTGGCCGGGACTACATGCAGGCCCATAAACAGCGAATAAACAGCGGTTCATGGAGCGTTCACATGCTTTTTTGTTTGGGGAGGCAGTGGTCAAGAGTGGTGAAACAGCTCACTCTGAGGGACAGAAGCATGAGACCCTATATTGTTTTACTTTGCACTACAAAGCCAGGTCAACAATTCTTAATATTTTAAACATGGACTTTGAAGGCTAGTTGTTGTTGGAGAATTCTTTCGACCATGTTGCCGACTTGGGCGAGCACCAAGGCAATCTGCACGTATGGCGTTTTATAGAAACTGGGTGCTAGACTTACTAACTCAATTTGACCTAGATCCTGTCTCGACGCAGGAGACACAGGAGTTTATATAGTTTTATACAAACATAGCGGCTTCGTGCAACTCTGTCATGGAAGTGGAGTGAAAACTCTCTGTTTGGTATTTGGAACATGGTCTTCCAAACCCGGTGCCATGCCATCCACGTAACCAATGTGAGTTCCGAGTGAACCATCCATTAAACAAACTCCTTAATACAAAACCCTCCTAAGCGACCTTCTAAGCTGGACATTCGAAGACATTCTAAGCTGGACAAGTCCATTCAACAAATCCGAAGCGACCTTCTAAGCTGGACATCGGCTTCAATGAACCTATAAGCTCTCTGAGCTTAAGCTCCGCTCGCTCTGAGAGAGCTCCGACCTCCCTCCAGGCGATGTCACGCATGTTGGTGCTCCCTTGCGGCGGCACCACGGCCGGGTAACCCGACCGGTGGAGGAACGATCGGAGGATCACGGAGGATCGCAGAGAGTCACCGTGTCTCTGAATCAATCACATTCAAGATCATTCGAACAAGCTTGATTTTGTTGGAGTCACTTCGAACTTGTTTTTGACTCAGTTCACTCCCATCAATTAGCCCTTCGCAGGTCAAGTTTTGGTAGAGGAGATGCTCATCCTGCGGTTGCCACTATGCAAAAGTTGCTAGTTTGTTTGCCGAACCTGACGATTGAGCATTATGGGACAATTACATACAACATACAGTACAGTTGGTGGATAGCTTTTGCCAGAGGAAGAAGTCCGAGTGCCATTCCAAATTCCAGACAGTGTACAGAGTCAGTACATATATATATATATATTAACCTTCCAGTCTTTACGATGTTAGATTCACTGAAATTTGCAGGTCAAACACTGTTTGTTAATGATTGCCGTGTCTTTTAGTTCGACATGGCACCTTTGTTTTGTCCAGGTGAATTCCACTGGAGGCCTCTTAGAGACAGGAGTGGTGAGCTGCCGACAGGTGCGGGACAGGACGGAGGATAGGGGCTGATGATAGATATTGTATGAGGGCCAGCACCCCCAAAGGGGTGGTTGGTGGACACCCCTTGACAACTAAGGGGCTATAAATAGACACCCCTTGGAGGGTCCTGGGGATTGACATATTTTGTATTGTCCGTGACCATGTGTTGTTAACAAATTGTTAAATAAATTAAAGTATATGTGTGTGCTAGGTTATGTAATGTACATGTTAGTTATTTGAGTCCCTAAATGTGCATGCGTTTCAGGACTTTGGGCTCACAAGCTCCTGGGGACATCAAGCTCACTTGAGGATTCTAATACAATCAACATATATGTCATATGTATATCATAAAACTACATATATATGAACAAACGTTTGTATATATAGTTTGCTCTCATATTGATTCATATGTTTGCTGAATTTTCTCTTTGACATGTTGTGGTTGTGTTTTCGGTATCCAGACGGGCTTTCAGCAAAGATACACACTGTCAGTGAGGCATGAGAGTTTAGTGTGAATTGATCCTGTACTGCATGATACTAGATGGATATACGAAGTCCAAACAAAAATAGGATAATGCAGTCCCAAGCACTCCATGTATGGAATATATGCCTACATTGACCCCCAAAACCACCCCGTCCATACATGGATTGTTTGGGAGATACATAAGATTATACATAAGTGTTCTTGCTGCACTTTTTGCCAATGCTTTATCCACAAATTTCAGGGCGGGTGGTTTTTCAGTTTGGCCGTCCATTTTCCAGATATCAGGTGCGGCATGGCACGGCCTTGCCACAACACCGAAGGTGTCCTGTCCAAATCTCAAAAGTCAGTGGACAACTGGCAGCTCGCTCATGGGGTAAGCTCGCTCCCGGAGCCCCAAACATGTAGCTGGACCTTTCGGGTATAGGTTAACCAAGATATCCTGGTTTTGACCCACAGCCAAATGGGGGAAGCTAATGCCATCAGCAGACAAACTCGCCAGCAGCCTTTGTTCGGCATGGGCAGCTGGGTTTGGGATGCGGAGAAAAAAACTGCCCTTGTGTCACACTGAGAACAAACACTGGATGGCCTTGAACTAAAGGGTTTAGATTTCAGAAATCCATGTTTATCTAAGGCTCCAACCACCTCCTGAGAACATGGTTGGGGTGGATTTTGGGGGGTCTAACCACCTTCTGACAAGATGGTTGGAGCCCTAGGGATCCATTGCAAGCTTTTGTTGGGGTTGTCCCTCCAGGCCATCTAGTTGATGAAGAGGAAAACTCTAGGACTTATGTATGCTCTTTTTCGACAGTGACAACCTTAAAGGACCGGTTTCAACAACTGTGAATATTCCAGGTGGTGTTACCAGCGGGCAGATTAATCGGGAAGCCTTGTTGCCTGCTGCAGGCCTTTTGTCCGGAGGTGCGCGGTGTGCGAGGGGCAGGATGATGCAGAATGAGTGTGCGAGTTAATTTGTAGATCCGTTCTTGAGTGGTGTGGTTCCATTAACATTCCAGGAGCATCCTGAGGATGTCCTTTGGCCCCAGTTCGACCATTCTTTGGAAGTACGAACTCACCTCCAAGACCATCATCAGGAGGTACTCGTACCTGGACCCTCGGACTGACCCTATGGGATATTCCACCTCTTGTTATGCTTTTCTGTGCCTTGACTGCCCTGTAGTTGGCTTTTAGGGGGAGAGACGCGTTTCCCCCCTTGCACCCAACATGGTGTGTGTATGTGTGGCGTTCCTTTCGCGCCCGCATGCTTTCACTCCGCCCATGCACCGCTGCCGCGCCGCAGGGCGTCTCAGAAGATGAGGCCAGACGATGTCAAGAGAACTGTCGCAGTCATCCCTTCTTCTGCCCGGCACACCCAGATCGATGTGTTTCATTTCTTTTGACCGTCTCCATTTCTTCGGGCCGTTGGAGTCAGAAGGCCAGCTGTTTGTGGACGAAACGGAGTGGTCACATTGTGCAAGATCGGCGAGAAGAATAGAACACAACGTGTTTGACAGCTTAAAAAGGATTGATTTGTACTGCATGAAGGACAGTGGGATTGGATCATGAAACCTTTGAAGATCTGGTCCATCCTTGCCCTTTGGGGATGGACGTGCCTATACGTGCCTATGAGGTCAAAAAATGTCAAAAAAGCAAAGCTTATTTCCGGCAGGAACCATACATGTTCACCATAGGCACTCCATCCCCAAAGGTCTAACAAAGCAACATCTCTCTCTCTCTCTCTCTCTCTTGTTATCCTAGAGCATAGGACAGAAAGTTGTTATCATGAAAACAGGTCTAACATAATATCTATTGCCTGCTAAACATGTTCACCATACTGTTGAATCAAGACATCCTGCACTGCATAGTGGGAACAGTTTTCAGAAATTGATCGGGTGCAGTGCTGACTGGAGTGGTTTGGTAGTTTTCCTCCAAGCCAGTCATCACCAAGCCAGTCTGTCCAAGGCAAAGAGACATGCGAAGCCAATGAGCAGTCCGGCGCGTGTCAATCCTGCCGTCGGGGAGCCAAGTTCAACTGGGCAATTGAAACATGTTGAAACATGCCAACACACAGTGAGACAACAGTAGATGACCCTACGCAACAGGGTATGTTTTTCCTGTACTGCGGGTTTGGGAGACATCCTAGGTCATTATATACCCACCACTTTCCACCTCACGAATTTCGCAAGTACGCCACCCTGGATGTGGTGGACTGCCTGGCGGGTTTGGGGTCTACCTGCAAGACAATTTTTGAGGGGATTGGTTTCCCTAACCCTTACTTTCCAGGGACACCGAGGGGGTCGGATCATAAAGACACTCCTTAATGTTGGGCATGATGAGCTATAGACAACCAGATTAGCAGAGATATGGGAGGGTTAGGGGTTGATTTCCAGGCTGGTGGCATTTCCACCTGCAACTCTGCTCAACCAAGTCCCCGCTTGTTCGGCCACCCAAACTACGGGATTCCCGATGGATCTACGTATGATCTATATATTATATTTATGATCGAATCAACAAATAATGATATTAACAATGCGTCAAACAAGGTCAAAGCCTGGCTCTGGCAGTTGAATTCTCAATCCCTTCCCCAGCATGAAGGAGAGGTTGTTGAGTAAAATCCCCAGGAACACAGATGAATACTTGCATGCATCCTATCCTCTAAGCACCAACTGGCTGCGGATTCCGCACCAACTTCTGGCTGCCCAAGGTCGAGAGTGTGAAGCTGCATGCGAATGCAGTAGCTACTGCGAACCTCTAATGAAGGACAGAGAGCAGGGCCAGGGACGATGGTATGATATGGTTGAAGACACATGGAAGTGGAACAGGGAAAATGTTAATGGATTGATAGCCCTATAATGTTCCTATTGAAATCCAAATCGTTCAAGAGCTGAAGAGCTCGCTTCATATGCAAAGTCCTTTCAGCACGTCAGACCACTCAACGACTTATTCTCGCAATCAAAAGGCGCCCTCGAGACATCTCATAGGCTTTTTTCTCTATATGGTATGTGTTGTCAGACCCTAGGGATCCAAGTACCTCCTCAAAAGGTACTTGAACCCTCCAAACCCACCCCAAACACCTTCGAAACGAAGGTACTTGGATCCATAGGGAGAGATAGTTTGTGATAGGAGGAAGTGCTACGAGAGGACGAACTCTTTGTATGTTTGGTCTCAACCCTAAACCTCTAAACCCTAAACCCTAAGGGTCGTTGATGTTGTTCAGAACACTCCGAACACTTGCTCGCCGATCAAACACTTCGAACCTCAGAGGCCGGGCCGGATGGGTGGACCAGCCAGGTTCTTTTCCAGGCGAGCCACCGAGATTGGTTGGCCAAGCTCCAAAAGTGTTCCTGGTAGCACTCAACATGAAGTAGAAGACCCTGGTTCCAGACGAAACTACTGCGACCGTCGCTGTTTGGAATCCACTGGGTGTGGAAACACCACGTTTCACCGTTTCACTGGTGGTTTGTTGCAGAAGCGCCAGGATGCAGCTCTCTGTGTTGAGCAGGGTGGGCGTTGGGGGAGCTCAGCGAGCCGAGCGTCAGTAATTAGATGAGGGACAGATTGACCATTGAGAAGTGACATCCATGTAGACATGGCACAATGCTTTCTGTGACTCCACAGTGGTATCATGGGAGTTGCATGGAGCTCTTTTGCTCACTATTTTCCTGTCCTAGAATATGACACTATATGACACTGGTCTCACAGGTTCGATGGCACAAGTTACCCCAAGGTCAGTGGTTAAAATGGACCCCCATTTGTCAGATAGGCATTTTAAGGTTTGTGTCATCTAGTCTGAAAACTCAAAAAAACACGCTTCCTGCGAACGAAGAGTAACGCTTCCTGCGAAGAGAACGATGCTGTTGCTAACTTCTTCGGAATCTCCATCGATCCGAAGTTTGAGGATCCACACGGCCGTGTACGGCATAGCAGTGTAGCGCGTACAGTTTTTTCGAGGTCTATATGAGGTGTTCAACCATCAGCCCCTGATTCGGTGTTTATAGGAGTGTCCATCACCCCCAATTCGATAGATAGATAGACAGATCGATAGATAGAAGATAGATATAGATATAGATAGATATGTATGCTGTATGCATGTGATTGTATGTGATTTATCTATTATTGTGTTTAATCAACAGTGTTTGAAAGCAGGGGTCACTGCAAGGGGGTTTGAAAGCAGCAGTGATTGTATTCATTGCACTTGATAGTTGGTACTTCAAAGCAAGGGTCACTACAATATACCGATTTAGGTCATTCGGTAGGCTGCTCCTTGGTCTCCCGGTCATTGCGTCCATGCTTGAGCCCAGCTGTTCCCAGATGAGAACGGAAGGCACTTCGAATGATGACTTACAGGTGCCATGGCGCATGCATTCTAGATAAGCTAGGGTCCAGAACCCATAGGGATTGCTTTGAGCCGCTCCACACCTTCCTTTTGCTTCAGCTCCACGCCTTCTGTGGATCCCGCGCCCAGGGGCGCGGTGTTCTCGGATCCACCCCGCAGCCCCGCCACCCTTTGCGTGCACACCGGGCGGGACACTTCGCGCGACACCCGGATGGAGACGTTAGGGACCGAACACGCCGTGGGTGTCGGTCCGTTTCGCCTCCAAAAGCCTTTCCGGGGGCAGAGCCCAGATTCGGTTTCTGAGGTTGGCAGCAAGCTTTGAGCTGCTTGGCTGCGATCCGAACTCGAGCCGCTCCCGAGCTGGCGGCGGCTCGAACGGGTCGGGTCGTCGGGATCGGGCCACGGGCCACTGAAGTCGCGCCGACGCGTACGACTGCATCGTGTCCAATCACCTGCATCGAGGGTGTGTGTGAATCCGTGCCCAGACACTCCAGGTGTAGAATATATATATATCAGAATATACCAGGACCTTCAAGAGGTGTCTACAAATAGCTTCTTAGAGTTTAAGGGGTGTCCAAAAACCACCTGTTGGAATGTCCTGGTATATAACATAATGTACTATATATTATATATTGACCCCTTAAAATATCCCAATGTAGGTAAGGGTTCCATACATGGATTGTTTGGGATAGGGCATGAACACTGCGGCTCCCTTGCATGCAGCTTTGAAGTGGGAAGAGGAATGCCCCGAATGATGGGGCAATGTTTTCAAAAGTACCATGTCCTTGCACAGAGCCGTCCATGTATTTCATGTTTGGCCCTTTACTCGCCGCTGGGTGCGAGTGAACATGGAGAGAATGGACTTGAACTTGCAAAGGAGAACAAAGACCAGAGAGTGGTATCTCCACCAGAGAGAGTGGTATCCCCACCTGTGGGGGCATCCCCACCTGTGGGGGCATCCAATGGTCACTTTAAGGCCAGAACTTCGACAACGTCCTGTCCTCCATGTTGACCCTCTTCGAGATCTCTAGCACGGAAGGCGGAAGGGCAAAGCTCGGTTGATGAACGACCGAGGGGGTCCGGTTGCCGACTAATTTTGAAGGAACCGGTCAATTCATGATTCATCATCCAGTCACAAGACGGGGTGCCGAACTTGGAGGATAGGGGTGCTATAGGGGTGCTCAGAACATCCACTCACAGAGGGACTAAAAACCACCCAACTCCATGTGACTCCTGGATGATTCATGGTTTTGTCGTGCCTAGCCAGACACAGGAGTATCTACCTCCACCTAGCCAGACACTTGCAGCGATCGTTGGGAAGCGAGCTATTGCCCTGGGTGACGTTTAGGGCATCAATGCGAATTGATATTCCATAGATGGAGTGTTTTGTTGCTTGTATCGCTTGCATGCAGGGATCACTGCTTTGGTGAACCATCCCTGAGATCGAAGAGTCTCATCTTGTGAGGCCCAGCGATCGTCCATGCTTTTGCGGCTAGTCCATTCTTCAGCGATCAGACCATGCCCATGAATCCCATGAAGACTGACAGTCTTCCAGCTGACAGAAGCCACCGAAAGTCCATGTGTCACCCAGGTCAGCAGACCGCCACCGTCCAGTCGGCTTCGGCTTCTTATCCTGCATCATCGATGCAAGGATCATTCTGTGCAGACTGTTCTGGACCATTTTCTTCCTGACGGTATCTCCGATGCCAAGTCCCCTGAGCACCAGATCTCATACCACTGCATGCAGTGACCACTGACCACTGACCTCCAATGCCTGAAGGTCCCCTGGAGCCTGCCAATACTCGCCCGTAGCACCCCATCCTGGAGCCACACGCCATCCTTCGTGGAATGGCGCTTGTGATGTGTCAGGTTGGGCGGATGTGATGTATCAGGCATGTGACAGCTATGGCCAGTTCATCGAGCTCCTCGGGCTTTTTATCGGGTGGGGCCATGGCTGGTGGTGCTGGATGGACGCCATGGCCAGGCCATGGTGGCATTGGGCTGGGTCAAGCAAATGTCATGGCAGTAAAGCACAGCAGACTACAGTGTTGACAACAGACTTGAGGAGGAAGACATGAATATGTAGGTTCTTCAACTTGAAAATCAAGTTCATTGATATACAGTTGATTTTGACACATACGCCAAACAGATTCATTCCGGAAGATTTTCCAGTTGTTGGTGTGCGATACAGCCTGATATATGATATATGTGACTACTATATATAATATATATAAATATATAGATATAGCTACTTGCGAACAGGTATCCTTGGGAGGCTTGTGGGGTCCCAAACTGGTGCCTATAGAAGCTCCTGATGTTCCATGTCCTTGCGGATAAGGGACAAGTGGACTTTAATGCATATTAGAACCCTACACATCCAACGACGCAGTTTAACTTGAATGTAGGAAATGCGACGCAGTTTTACGGCATCACATTTTATTCGACGCTCAAAAACTTCGAGGGGACAGTTTCGTTAAAAGTTTCGTTAAAACATGTTATGGTTGTATATATGTCTTTAAGTAAGTCCTGGCAGCACATTTTTCAACCAAAAACAAGTTCAATAGCGCCTTTTTACCTGTGCCATGCCTTGTAAACATCCACACGTGCCAATCTCTTCTTGGCAAAATGTTGCAGGGGCCAGAGTCACGCTACAGTCACGCTACAGTCACGCTAGAGTCACGCAGAGTCACGCTAGAGTCACGTTCGAGTCCAAGTTCTTTTTATAAAAAACTGGCCTGAAAGTTTTTGTTGAATAAAACTTCGAGTAAGGGGGGGGAGTCACGCTAGAGTCACGCTACAGTCACGGTAGAGTCACGCTACAGTCACGGTAGAGGCACACATGTAGCCATGCCAGCAAGCTGGCACAACTATATCGCGGGATTGTTGCACAAACGGGTCGGTTTGGAGTCATGACAGTGCTGCAGAAAACTGATAAACAACATTACCACCGAAACGCACACGTGCTGCCAGGAATTTGTTGCAATTTCATTATATATATGTTAAAGACGATAAAAACTTTAGGAAAATACGATAAAAACTTTCAGGTAACAAAAGTTTTTGACAGTCACATTTTCTTGAAACTTTCGAGGACAATGCGACGCAGTAAAACGGAGACATTGATTTGTAGGGAAATATATACATCGGTGTGTATGTACACTATTTCTTGCATAAACCAGAACACCAAAGTGGACGGAGCTTCCAGGTCGCACCTTTTCTCAAACACACGGGTTTTTCTCTTTCACCGGGGTCACGACCGGCCCTGTCAGACCGCGGGGGAACGAGGCCGGTGCGGAACTACAGCGAGTGGCTCTTCGCACCCTTCTTCGTGGCCCGGGCCGTTGGACGCGACCGCTGACGCGACGGCCGTGGTGGAAGGAAAGTGAACGCGATCGTCCGAACAGCCCTTTAGGTGGCCTATCCCTACCAGGACCTTCCAACAGGTGGTGTTTGGAGACCCGACCACAGGTGGTTTCTGGGCACCGGACTTGTCACCAGGAAACACCTGTTGGAGGGTCCAGGTATGTTCTACTACAGGGTCCCAGTTCAGGTCTGTCAACCTCTCTTGGTCATGTCGATGACCTTGACCGAAATCACTGCCCATGGCTTCACTCGGCACTGCGATTCGCACCCATTCTCGAACGCGATACGCAACGAACGTGAATCGGGTCGAGAGTCGAGAGTCGAGAACGTCGGGCAAGGCGACGTGTGCGCGAAGCGTTCGACGTGTGCGCACCAGAGGTCTACATGATTTTCTCGCACATGTTCATCATCAACCTGAGCGTGGGAGTCATCGTAGAGACTTTGCTGCAAGGAAAACAACGCTGGAAAAATTTGGAGGTTCTGGTTTTGGCCCATTGGTCCGAGCTTGCTTACCGGGTATAGAAAATCATGTTTGAAAATCATCTTCAGAGGTTCTGCTATTGGCTTCATTGGGTGAATCAGCAATCCCGAGAACGTGTTCCATGTTTTTTCAATGTGTTGGCAACTGTTGTGACGATTTGTAGGCCACTGCAAAGTTGTTTGGCTCATCTCCATGACGGCATCCTAGGACCTCCGTGACTTGTTGAGAACGGTATGAAGCGATCCCGAGAACGGTGGTGAAGTTATGAGCGCTAGATGATGCAAGATGTAAGGCGTGTAAGGTCACCAACTGAATCCCACACAATCCATACATAATCCATGGGACTGGCATATTTACAGATCAGGGGTATGTTCAGGAGTCAATTTTTGGTTATGTAGGCATATATTCCAGTCCCATGGAGTGTTTGGGAGTGGTAACATTAAACATATATTCCAACACACATTGGACCAGTTCGAGAGGATGGGAGCTCACCCTTTTGACTCCAACTGACTCTATAGATGTGGGCAGCAAACTTGGTGATGGGCCGTCACTGCGAGATGATGGGCCGGTCACTGCCTGAGCCGGTCACTGCTCGAGCACTGAGGACAAGTTCATGGACTTAAAGCAGTCGGGAAAGCGCGATGTGCTCCTGACGACGGTGCGAGCCCCATGCTCCGCCGTCGCGGGACGTGCGCAGCGAGGGGCGCGGAGCTGGTGAGAGGGGGTGGGAACGCCAGAAAGACAATAGGCGAAGTGTCATGGAAAAGGACTGAGACCCTTTGAGCCATGGAACATGACTGAGGAAAGGGTGCTGTTTCGGAAAACAATGGTTCCTTCCGGTTGAGACTTTGGACTGATTCACCGTGCCAAAGCGGTCAAGGCGGGATATCAAGGGGTGAAGGCGCCTTTGATGAGTGGCATGGTTTTCAGCTGGGCGTGGGAGCGAGGCATTCGGCTCACCCCAGTCGCCGATGCGGGATGTGCGGTTTTGGCAGGGCTCGGGCTCGTAGTTGTTTTCCCCTTCCGCATCCTGGGGCGGAAGCTGCGACAGGCGCAACTGAAGTGGCTGGACTCCCAACGGCTCTTGACAGCGACGCGCTTCGACGTCACGCCACACTGGCGCTCGTTGTGTGCGCATGAAGAGTGAGAGCACCCGGGCTGGAGTGGAAGAACAAAGCCATTGGGGTAACGGTGAGGTGAGGTATATTTGATCAAGTATCTTAGATCTGCGAGAGTTGGCAAGGGGCAACATGGGACAACCAGCCCTTTTTCCATCGTGATGAACTTAAGAACAATCAAACATTCCTAAGAGTGGTAGAACAGCGAACAGAACGAGGAAGTCCTCATGTTCCCACTTTGCAAGTCCACGTAACGTGCTTGCTTTAAGATTTGTTTCGTTGGCGAAGGTAACAGACATCCTGACCCAGATGTACACCCAAAATGCCAGGAACCTGCACAAGATGCCATGGCTTCAGCGGAAGGTGCGCCGCTGGAACCTGTGCTAGCGGGAAGCAGTCGACATGTTAGGGTCGACGTGTCTTGGTGTTGCTTGGTGTTTTGTTTGTTTTCCTCTATTGGGTGAATCTCTTTTGTGGGGAATCTTCTTTTGCCGGTTCCTGGACCGCTCAGCTGTTTGAAGATTCGTGGGACCATGCAGCGGCACCCATGCAGCTGATCAAGTCTATCGAGCCATAGCAGTCGATCCTGTGCGCTTTGCTTTTCGGCCCACGGCCACCATGGCCCTCCAGGGGCCTTCAGCTATTCCACCTGCTAAGTGATTCAAAGTGCACTGGTTCCGGTTCCAAAAGGCCCGTGCAATGCACACCAACTGCGACTGCGACTGTCGCGGGTATCGAATCAGCTTCGAGGAGAGCCCCAAAAGGGGACCTGTCCCCCCTACTTTCTTCGTAGCACCTGCGATGGATTTGAGTCCACAGATCTAACAACATGTTTTAATGATCTCCTCTTCTTTGAGGGGGATTGACAATGATTGACATGATATTTATTCAATTCAATATGCTTCGATAAATTTGGTGGGATCCTTGATCGCTATGTGGCAGTCGCTCACAGAGGGTGGGACCAGACTGATCTCTAGTTCGGCAAGGCGAAGCCCAACTGATCACAGTCTCCGGTGTCTCCGGTGTCTCACGTGGCACTTCTGATTGTCTCACGTTTCACCGCAGAAACTCTCCGTCAGGTCTATCATTTCATCAGCAGCTTTCGCTTCTCCGCCTTCATTCTGGTGGCGATTGCTCTGAACTCTGTGAGGGGCCCCCAGAGAGTCGGCCACTCGGGACGCTCGGGACGTTGTGCACGTATGACGTGCCGTGGATGATTGTGCACGTATGACGTGCCTTTTTTTTCTATGTTGTTCTTATTTGCAGTTCATCCCTGTTTGGCATTGACGGAGTAATTTGGCTGGAATCCCCAACCGGTCACACGGCAGGATTTTACATTTCTGTGCCATGCCACAGATCATGTACATCATCATGTTGCTGGGCTGATTGCTGCATGGAGGGTATCAACAGGTGTTGCCACCCAGCGATGGCCAGTGGATCATTGCAGTTCAAGAATTCCTGAAGAACGTGTGATTTTCACATGTTCACCATCTACCAGGACCGACACCTAAGAGGTGTGTATGGACATAGCTTCTATATTATAAGGTGATTCGGGGTGTCCAAAAACCACCGGACTTGGTTTCGGTCCTGGTGTGGCATCATGTGGCTTAATTGCAAAACATGTGGTTTTTCCATCTTGCGCAGATCCATTTTGCCTCTTGAGACCCTCTCCACGTCACCATCTGTCACGTCACACGAGACCCGAGAGACCCTATAATTACCGGGTGAAAGACATCACGTCCGAAGACCCATCCGTCACGCCAGGCGTTGATGGCGATGCAAACCTTTCCATCGCAGATCGAGAGCTGGGACGAGGTCATGTACGTCCGGGCCACCCAGACCTCCGCCGTTTCTCCCTTGTCGCGAGGCGAAACCGTGAAGTTCCTCGCTTCGCCGGTGAATACCAACGCGGGACGCGGGAGCTGAGTCGTGAGTCCCACTGTGGGTGTGTGTCTTTATGTGTTTCTTGGGTGGATATCCAGTAGTTTGTTGGCAGAGAGAAGCTTCATGGACACAGGGGAAACTGGTGAAAGATCCTTTCGACAGGTTCCTATTCCCTTTTCAATCACTTTTCCAAGTGAGGTATACCCATGTTTTTTTCGCCTTTGCAAATGGTGGGCCCGCCGCCCCAATTCCGCTCATTTATAGCTGTCGTATACCGCCGATGTCTCTAAAGATGAACCCAGATGTTGAGGTCAAGACCTGTGGAAAGGGCAGAAACGATGCTTCTGATGGAACCGGACTGGATACTGCTGCACGAGACTGTTGCTGATCAGGGGAGGCAGTCCGTAGAATACTCCGAGCGCAGTTGATTGCGCATCTTTGAAAGCTGGCTCCTTACTACTTTACCAACCAAACAGCCGGCTTGTTTTCCCTTGACTTTCCCAAACAAAGACACTGAGAAAACTGCTTCCCTCCACCCTAGACTCACTCACTCACCGCGTGAAAGAGAACGCACGCACGCCGGCCGGCGCCACCCACCATCAGGTGGGAAAGCGCTGCTTCTCGGCGATCTTCACGTTGGAAATGATGCTGAAGATCTACGCCCTGCGCTCCGCCTACTGGGAGGACCCGGCCGATCGGCCGCCGCGACGCGACGTGGCGCTGAAGGAGAGGTCGACCGGGCCAGAGGTCGCAGTTGGTGAACTTCATCGGATCTCAACAGGTCTCCCACCAATCAGGTCACAACATCAGGTCCGGATAAGTGGTATCATCAGGTCTCCCCATAGTGAGACGGCACCGAAGTGGTTGAAAGAGAGACATCTCAGCCGTTCCTGAGGGGCGGTTTTTCTGCAACGCCGTTGGACTCGTAGAGAGGTCTTGGATGGATTCGGAACGGTCCCATACTCAGAGGATCGGGAAGGCATTGGTGAGAACATGGTGTGAAGCATCTGAAAATTGGTTATACAGTTATACAATATATACGATTTTATATGCAATACTTGGTGGGTGCATGGGCCTCTTTAAATGGCACACACTGTTGCTGAAACTGTGCATGTTCGAACTATATATAAAAATCTCCGAACTATATATAAAACCCCTTCAGTCCTGCACTATGTTTGATGTTTTCTCAAGATGCAGCATCAGCATTTTGTTCAAGTGAGAGACTGTGGTGGGCCATGGCTAGACGCCGTGTGAGGGTCAAAGTGAAAGTGCACAGAAGGGTTCGAGTAAAGAAGAAGAAGAAGACTGAAGAAGACAGATTTCCCCAAACAGCATTACCCCCACCCCCACCACCTCCACCACATGCACTGCCTCCAGCTCAAATCCCAGTGCCACCACCGCCACCAAGACCTTTCCCAATTCCACCCCGACCCCCAGCCCCACCCAGAGCCAGACCCTTACCGCCACCACCACCTCCAACCAGACTGAGAGTGAGACCTAGACGACCCTTTCCACCTCCGCTACCACCACCAGCTCCAAAAGGGCATTCTTGAGAAGATGGATTGAGCCATGGATTGAATTATACTCGCAGCATCCAGTGGCTGGAAGATTGAACAAGAGGAATTTTTGAAGGAGAAGTTCAGAATGGTAAATTGAAATTGACTTTGAACCAGAATTGACCAATGGAAAGGGGTTGACATGCTTTGTGTATTCTGTCATTTTCCACTGTGGGCCATGGCGAATCACCAATTGGATGCGGAGCTGACGAGACTTTGCTAATTGATTGTCCCAGTAGTGGCCCAGTAAGAAACTAAAAAAACATGTTAATGAATGAGTCAGAATCATTTTGTTTTGCTCACAGGTGGTAGTAGAAATCAAGAAATCAGGATTAGACATTGGAGGAATCTAGCAACCTACTGAACCCAGCATTCAGTGGCTCTAAGGAGTCCGGTGGACGACGACAAGTTTGGCGCCTATGATGATGTGATAGGCACTGTCAATGACATCGACTTGCCCTTTTTGAAGTGGCCCGTGTTCTTCAAAAAGGCCATTCCAATCCAGAATCCGCACAGTATGTATGGTGGTGAGAAGCCGATTGTTTGCACTTTGAACTGACTGTTGTCAGTTATGATGAGCGGTTGGTAGATGTTCTTTGATTTTGGAACAAGTTCACTGCTACAGTGAGCCGAGGTAGATCAAACCCCGACTGAACTGAAAAAAAGTCTGAGGTTCAACCATCGTTTTCATCTTTACAATAGGTTGCAAGATTGGCAACTTGAACACTTCAATCTGAGGTTATCCTTGGTCGAGGCTTGTGCTGGAGCGGGAACAGCAACCTACGCCTTGCACCCTGGACTTATCACTTATCACTGGACAATTGGAAGTCAAGATGTTCTGATTTCTTGTTTGGACTGCTTAGATGGATAGTGCAGGGTCTAATCTTTGCCTAGGGACCCCAGGAATACTCAGGGTGAATCAACAATCTGTTTGAGCAACTTACCTTTGCGCCAATCAAGGCGTGAGATGGACATGAATTTCTGCACCATTGCTGTTCTCGAGAAGCACAAGAAGAAGATGGAGTATTTGATGCTCAACTTCTCGCCCTATAGACTCTTGGCATCCTGATAGGACGCATTAAGACGCATTAGGCCCTACAGACCCAAATCCTAAAGAACAAACTGAAGAGCTTTAAGAAAGGAACTCGATTTGAGCCCTGAAACCATGAAACCCTCCGAAGTCCAGAAAGTCAGAAAGTATATAGGCTTTTGCTCGCGAACCAAACATCCCAAACCAACGTTTACGACGCTTTGGGTTTAGGACCGTTTGGTCTAGGACGTTTGGTCTACAGGCGGCAGGATTTCACACAGTGGTCCAGAGGTCTAGAGCCAGGCAACATTAGACTTGACAGGCGACCAAACCCTCCAGTACAGAAAGTAAATGCCATGTGCTTTGCCCTGGCCCTAGACCAACGCTTTAGTCCCCGTGGGCCCCTGAGTAAAGACAGCGCCTTACTCCTTACTCCCAAGCCCTACAATTTCTTTGGAGAGCACTGAGTCATTGACATTGAGTATTGGGTTTTTATGACCCTCAGTGCCTCAGTGATCTCTCACCATGTTTTTTCTCTGCAAAAGTTGCAAAGCAGGGAGATGTTGGAGTCAGAGAGTCATGTGACATTTGTTGGCGAATAGGAGGAGGCCTTCGGAACGACCTTGCTGGACCAGTCATAGATGTGACGTGACTGGGACAGCCCGATCTAAGTCCATCATTGCTATGAAGACGTTGCGGACATGGTCAAGGACCCCCTGCACTGCGACCGACCAGGTCATACTGGATGTTTGGTGCCACAGAAAGAGGACTGGAACAAACGACCAAGGCTTTGGGTGTGTCAAGACAGGCTTGATCTGATCTGTTTGTTTGTTGCTGTTTAGCTTACAGCAGCGCCACACCCACCCTTGAGAACGGCATGAATAGAGGAGAGTACAAAGTACATTACATTCATTTGAGAAGGTAGGGGTAGTTCACAGTTTGCAGTTGCTACACTGTTCTCCTGGAAGGACATCTATGCATGCGGACCTCCCTGCCAGCCTTTTTCCCGATTGAATAACAAACGGAAGATCTCTGGCAATCCATTCGAGACAAGTGATGGCATGGTGTTCGTCAACTGCAGCAGACACATCCGTGACTAGTCCAATCTAGTCGCCCTTGGGTAGGGATGGGTTGATGGTGCAGGGCCCAATTTACAAGAGGACAAAGTGAGGGCCAGTGCCGACTGTGCCTCACGATTCAGGAGGTTGATAGTCAGTAGTAGTAGTAGTAATGATCTCACACCTGTTACACCTTCCAGCAGTCAGGATTGAGTAGTCAAGTTCGGTTTGTGTTGAAGAGGTTTTGTCACCTACTCTTTGGGACTGAACCCAGGTACGAGGAGGCCGAAGTTCGCTATGCTGGAAGAGGCGGGGCCTGGGAAATTGGACAGTCAAGAGTCAAAGATTTGACTTTTGAGACTTCAGTTCAGTCATCTGATGTTGTCCAATCAAGAATATTTTGCAGTGAAGTCTCAGGTAGATGTTTGCCTGGTGTCAAGACTTCAACTAAAACAGGAGTCATATAAGTCATATATAGTCAGAGTCATATTAAACCGTTTCCATTTCATTTAGAGGCAAAAGACAGATTTGATTTGGAAATGAACTTGGTTGCCAACCTACGTGCACAGCTGGACAGGTGGTGTCAGTGTATGACAAATTTTTGGTGCCAGAAGATTGCTCACAAGCAGATCGGGAGTTCTTCGCAACATATCCAGTTTCTTGGCATCTTTTTTGTGCTGGGGGCTGCAAAGTGTTTCAAGGGAGTGCCAGTGTATGCAAACAACCGAGAAAGCGTACCAAACACATTTTTGGAATAGGTCACCAGTCAGTGACAATTTGGCCATGAACTCCTTTACAAGGTTTGATTCGGGGTTGAGGGTTGCTGTTTACATTGACAGGCTCCAAGACTTTGTGCTTCCCATCAGCTCTCAAGTTTTTAGCACTGACTCGTCCTGTAAACATAACGCATGGATCATCTGGCTAGTCTGCCCTGCTTCCCCTATCTCATACCCAATCATACCCAATCCATAGTTAGCCGACTATAAAATAGACAAGCTGACAAGCGAATTGTTCACACCTGGTTTTTCCATGCCTTGCCATGCCCCTATCAGACTTGTGGGCTGATGTCGATCCAGACGCCCCAAGTCCAAAAGAAATTGATGACTCCGAAAAAACATTGAGAAAAAAACTACAGACCGCTCCAGCTAGAGTGGCAATCGCCCAAAAGAGAGCTGCTGCAAGCCAGCAGCAGTTTGCAGATGACTCCAGCAACAAAGCAGATTTCTCTACCCGTTTGCAAGCAGAGTTCTTTACTCAACAGTACCAGCGTGGGCATCACATTCAGCACAGCAAGAATCCCAGCAGTTCAGCCTTCACTGACAGGAAGCAGCAATTTGGGCGAGAGAGAGCTCGGTGTGTGTTTAGCCTATTGAAGTGCACGCTGCAAAAGTTGGTTGCTCTGTTCGACGGACGGGAAGTGTGTCATGTGGTAAACACGTGCATTGCTGACGACACCAGCACCAAACTCAGGGCTGCGCAATCTGATCGTGCCGTAGTGCACACGATCATGAATACAGTCCAGAACTTGTTCGTCAGATATGGCCATGGCAATGACAATACTGCTGACACATGGGAGTCCATCCATCTCCCAACTCCAGCTGCTTGCCTAGAATCCTCAAGAGGTGACGCACTTCATGCGGCCTTTACATCCTGGCTTGTAACATCTTTGTCAGGGCCCGGAGTTCATTGGCAAAGACTGGGTTGTCCGCAAGATATTCTGGCCAGGAGCAAGTGGTCCACCTGCATCCTAGTTGGAGACGCCTTAAAGGCCAATGACACTGCCTGGCGACACGAATGCAGAATCCTAGCCCAAGACAGACAGGATCCCAACTCTAGCTCCCACAAACTGTTGGGCATTCGGATGAAATGCACGGTTCACCAATTGGCCTTGGTGAGGAAACCTGCAGTGTTGAGTATCGACAAGTACTGGACTACCCTGGTTCGTCTCGGCCATTTGTACGAGACATACAGCTTTCGGCGTGCTCTTGGAGCTGCGCTGATTTCCTTGTTGCAAAGAGAGGGGCAGTTCATTCGTGCTTT